GTCTTCAAGATACGGGATATAGTAGTTCTATATTCACATGGTGTGATAATAGGGATCCTCCTCCTACTATTTGGAAGAGACTTGAAAAATTGGTGTATAATTCAGTCTGGTTTGATGCTTTTAACTCTTCCTCTGGTACGCATTTATCCAGAGCTTGCTCTGACCATGCCCCTCTCCTGGTTAGGATGAATAATAAGACTGTTAACACTACTAAGTATTTCAAATTCCTTAATTTCTGGACTGACCATCCCATCTATATTCAGACAGTCTAGAATGTCTGGGAAGAAGAAGTCCATGTGAATCCTCTTTACATTCTCCACCAGAAACTCAAGAGCACCTCTAAGGTCCTCAACATATTGTCTAGACACACTTTGGGGACATCTATGAGGAACCTAAAAATCTTGAAATTCAGATGAGGACCTTAGAAGAGAACTTCCTGAATTCCAACAATGCTGATAATAGGAATGAATTGTCTTAGTATAGAGTTGATTATACAAGGTACTTAAAGCTCCAGGACTCTATCCTTAGACAAAATGCTAGAGTCAAATGGATCCAAGAAGACGATGTCAACATAGCCTACTTTCATGCCATCATCAAAGGCAGAAGAAGAAGGCTATCCATTAAGAAAATCATGGATGAGCAGGATCAATGGATTGAGGGTAATGATGCTATAGTTAAAGCTGCAGTGAGGTATTATCAGAAGATCTTCACCCCAGAAAATCAAAGCTCAGACTTTGATGTTCTCAATTGTCTTGAAAGATGCATAAATGAAGAAGACAATGATCTTCTAACAACAACTCCTACTATGCAAGAAGTGAAAGATTGTGTAATTTTCATAGACCCAGACAGTGCACCTGGCCCTGATGGACTTAGTATATATTTCTATCAGAAATCTTGGCATATTATTGCTCATGATCTATACAAGGCTATGGTATCTTTCTTTTGTGGTGCTACCCTCCCTAAGTACTTCACTCACACATGTATTTAAATGTCGCTAATAGTGAAAGAGTACCTCTTGGTGGAAACAAAGGTAGCAAATGCTAGAAAACATATTACTATTAATTCATAAAATAAAATATATCTCATTGAATCTAAACAATCCAAAGGAAGTACTAGTCGAAAATATTAATATCACAACTTTTAAATTAAACTTGTATTGATTGAACTGATATAATTAATCCTATCAAATAATATCTTCAAATAGTTTCGGCAACTCTTCATCATATTGAAATCTTTCACTTCCGAAAACAAATGACCTGGAAAAATAAAATAAATATGTCAAAACATGGAATGTAATGTATAAAATATCATGAGTCTATCATCTAAATATATTGTGAATTCTCAAAACAATGTGAAAAATGAGGCTGCATGCGAACTAGGGTACCAAATTCATCATGGTTAAAGATATTGAAATGTAGTTTCTAATAAGACAAATCGTTCTTAAGTTGAAGCTCCCTACATCAAGTTATAGTATTGGAATACAATAAAAATATTTTGTCTAAGAAAGAACAAAGGATGACAAAAGGAAGAAAAAAGAGTTAGCTAATGTGGCAAATGAAACTTGTAGTATTAGAATACAACTTAGATGTAAGAATTGAAGTTTAAAAGTGAAGATATGAGGTTCTGGGTTGAAAATCCAAGAAAATGTATAAAGGTTGGAGGTTGGAGGTTGAAGATGAAGATATTAAGGTTCAAGAAACAAGGTATGAATATTTGAGAAAGACGAAATCCTTTGTGGAGTTCGAAGGTAAAGACTAGGATCAGAAAGTGAAGGAAGTAAAGGGGGGCGAAACTTTTATAGAGGGAAATTCGCGACATTTCGCATTCGAAGGTGACCAGCCATTGAGTGACACATGTCTGAAGTCAGAGTGAAGCGACTGATGAGATGTTTCGGCTTATCCGCCATCTCGTATGAAAATAGGGAAAGAAGGAACCAGGTTTCATCTATCGTCTCCCATTATTTCTGTCACGACCCAAACCAATAGGCCGTGACGGGCACCCGGTACATTACTCAACCGAGTACCAACGTAATGTATCTTTCTTATTACATCATCATGGGTAAGTGGGTCAGAAGGGGCGTCATGAAATAACTAGAGTATATATGAGAAAATGCCTGACATAGAACAACCCAACCTGATATATTGATTTATACATATGACGTACGGGCCTATAAGGCCAAAATAATCACTCATACACTGAACATAGTCCGACAAGGCCATACAATCTTTCATATACATGACATATGTCTACAAGCCTCTAAGAGTACATAAACGTCATAAGGCCGTGACAGGGCCCCGACATACCAATCAATACATGTCTAAATCATACTAACCAAATAAGCAACTCCCGAGCAAATCTAGCACACCAACATCTTCCGCTGAGCTGATAGCCTACTTAGAGGACTCTCAACCTGTCTATCGGGACCTGCAGGCATGAAACGCAGCGTTCCCAAGCAAAAGGGACGTTAGTACAAATAATGTACCAAGTATGTAAGGAATGAAAATCAGTAAACAATAGACATGAGAGAAACATGGAGTAAAAGACTCAACATGTACATATGAATATCTTTGTGAATCATTTAATATTATAATGTCATGCATATGCGTATAAATGTCATACCATGCATGGGTATGTACGTTTATAACATCATCAAGCCTCTCAGGGCATCCCATCATATCATCTCTGTCACTGTGGGCAAATCATCAGCGTATACCAGCTGATCAGGTGGTGGTGCGTATATAACAACGTAACCTTTTCCCATATCCCATATATATATATATACGTGTATATAACGTTGTCTGGTCATGGATCAATGTAAATGAATGCAATGCATGAGAAGTATGTCAATAAAATCTTTCGGAGTGTCATAAGACCATTATGCCTTTGATTAATATCATGAAATAAACTTTATCAACTTACGTATTTTCTGAGACTCACAAATAGATGATAGAATAATAAGACATATGGGAAATCAATAATATAAGCATCTCTAGTATTTCTATGAATAGAATCATTTATGGAAATTGTGCATTTGCTCGTTTCGTTTGTGTCATATAGATCATGCCAAAAGAAAGAAGGGATAGCCTTAACATACCTGAGCCGATTCTCTGACAATCCCTCTAACACATGCTGAATGCGACAAAATATGTAACGGCAGATCGAAGTAGTGGAAAATCTGTATGATATTCTTGAGAAAGATTACATTGTATTCCCTTAGAATCGCAAAATCACGTTACTATTTACACAGTATAACATTGTGTGAAATTTTATTGAAGCTATCTATGTTGCCATAGCAGATCCGTTATGCTATCTTTCCTAAGTGAATGAATAAGTTAGAAAGGTCTCTTATTAGAGTGGTGTGGGACCCATTTATAAGGCTTACTTTAGCCACCTATCAATCCCTTATAATGCCACCTTTCTCATGATTTTAAGAGTAATTAAATTGGCTTTATCTTGCTGCCAAGTCTTCCTAAATCACACGTGGATTTGTCCCCCCCTAACAATTATCCACAAAATTCAATTTACAAGTTAATCTCCCACTTAAAAATTCATAATTACCCAATTATCCACATAATTAAGAATTATCTCAATTTACTTAAAATACTACTCACTTTTAATACACTTTATACATCTTACTATCATGACCATGTGGTACCTTGTATGGTACTAGTACATGAATACCGGGTATTTTAGCTCGCATCGTATTTTATTCAAAAATGTCAAACTTCGACAAAAATTCATTTTCTTCGATTTTCTTACCCTATCACCTTCACGAATTTACTCATCACTTGTTTGAAATAGTATAATGCCTATAATCTCAAAATAATCTCATTCCCGAACTTACGTCGATTAGCTTACGACGAAACTTTACCGTACAAAAATGCGGAATGTAACATCTCATTTCCGAGATTATATCAATTTACTTATGGAGTACTTCTACGTACGAAAACATGGGGTGTAACATCATTCCCCCTTTGGAATATTCGTCCTCGAATGTTGACTGATGCACTTATCATTCTCATAACCCATAGCTCTTGTGAATACTTTTTACCCTTCTTGCCATTTAGGTAACTGTTCTTTGAATAAATCCAAAGTTCAGGGCATTCCCCCTTTTAGGCCTCTTTCTCACACCACGGTCTGTGGTCAGAATTCTTCCAATCTCTTAACTCTTGCTACCTTCTGTCATGTAGCCTATACGACTTTTTTCTTGTATGTGCGCCTATGCGACTCTTCTTTCCTTTTTCCTCCAGTTTTTAACCAATCTCTAGGCTTCACTTTGTAAGCATATACAGAGCTTAATAAGATGTCTCTCTCGGCATCTATAGGTATACCAAAGTTTTTTGCTCGATACTTTGTTGAACTTACGAATATTGTTGTATCTTATTTCATAGACCCGGTTATCCATCCGTATGACTTTACTACATCTAGGTAGGTCATACTATACCATAACTCTTACTTCGATTTATCGTTACTTAGGTCTACTACCGAACTCCAGGTTACTTTCGTTGCTTATCCCATATGTATAAATCTAAGTCCTTTAATGCTTCCTCATTATTGTCCATCTTAAGAATGACGGCCTAATCTCATCTCATACTTTGTGACTTTTGTCCATCCATTGTTGATTCATCTCAATATTGATCTGCAATCTACCACTGATAACTTGATCTCTTATGTAACACTGTCGCTAGTAATTAGATTGATCCACCTATGGCGATACTATACTTCCATAACCGTATGTTATAACATCCCACTATGACTCACCTTACATGGTTATTTTAATCATGTACAATTCATGAAATCCTCTTCAAGTTATTACTTAATCGAAGTCCCAAACGTCATCCTTTATCTATCACAATCACACCCTCATTCTACTACCTGGGCAACATTCCATTTCTTCTAGATGCTATTAGTCTTAGACTCCTTTGAGTTCATTCAGGATATACTGAACTTTCTATAACTTAGAGAAACCATTAGCTCTCTTGTTTTTATGGGCTTAATACCGAGGACTTATCCATTCTTGTCCCCTTCTCACTCGCCCTTTCTCATCCTTACTCCTGTCCTAAAACCTTGTCGCTTTACTATACTTTAGCTTGCGACCTATACGTATTTATTTATACTATTCGCAACCTTCCTTAAACTTGCTTGCACCATAGATTTACTTATTCTATTCTGGAACATCAAGCGAGACATCACATCGTCTCTAACTCTTCTTTACTCACTTGGCTAGATCTCTCAGTACCTAGAAACCATAGGCTAGGCCACTGACGATGCCGCTATCATTCCTGGATACCGAATCCCCGCACTTCTAGCCTTTTATCCGCAGTATGGACTATTCACAACCTTCTGTATTTGAGTATTTCGTACGTTGTTCACCTTTACCTTACTACCTTAAAATCTTGCATCGTATATTCTATTTCTTTCATCACCTCTCTTCCACATAGGTATAATTCATATCCATAACTTGAAGCTTTATTATAATACTTGCACCTCTGGTGCATACACAATCCGTTAAGAGCTTTGTACTAACTTCTTATGAGGCTGGTACTTTTCTAACTGGCTTTATCGTAGGGCCGTTATAGAATATGGTTGTTGTACTATCTCTCTTGTACCTCTGATATTAAGAGTAATCCTGCAATGTTCTCAATCACGATGTCTATAATTTTCTGTGTTCAATAATCAGACTCCTTATTTACTTGGTTGATGTAACTTTTTAGTCTCCTCCTCTTTCTGATCAGCCTTTATGTAGGCTTAAGCTATCTTCCGATCGGCGGCTTATGGTATTAGTTATTACTTTAGCCTTCTGTGGACGCATGGAATATCCATGATACAATCTTCTAACAATTCAATCCTTTGTCTATGACCTGAACTTAATTCTATCTTTTAACTTATACTAGAGTCTTCTACGGATGTATGATTGCCAACATATATGTTGCATGGATAATACTATGAAATATTGAGTGCATTCATAACGTAACTAACTCTGGATCA